GGGGGCTGCGCCGGGAGCTCTCCCGGGGAGCGCCAACAGCTCCGTCGCGCTCTGCGGCTTCCCCTTGCCCCCTGCCTCTGAATCCCGCCGCGGCTCGGGGATGTGAAATGACTGTTAGCTCATCTCCTTCTCTCCCGCTGGTTTTGTTCCCTCCCTGCTCTGGGGCCAAGCTCCTGCGAGGCTGCTTCTCACACCGCTCCGAGCGCCCTAGGGCTCCTCTCCTCCCCCTGAGCCGGCGGTTACCTAGAGACATTCACTGCGCTTTTAAACACGCAACACCCCTCCGGACTGCAGACGCCTGAGCCAGGAGCACAGAGCCTTAAGGGCTGTAAATTAGGAGGAAATAACTACCCTTGTCAAAGCTCTTTTCTTCCTCCGTGCACTTTACATTCAGCCCCGAGTGACACCCCTCCCCACCCTGTAATATGAGGAGGAAACCGTGAAATACTCCATTGTGATTGTGACTTCTTCAGTTGAGTTTCGAAACCTTCATTTACCCGGGAGGGACCGCGAAAGGGGAAGCTCCATTCAATTAAAAGTTTCAAGCTATATTTCCACTGCTGGTTAGCTCGCGATTTTGGGGATCGCTCCGAGCCACGCGATCGCTCCAGCAAATATCCAGGAGCTCGGGTGAGTTTCACCTCCGAAGAAGCCGTCTGCTCTGCTTCAGTCCATTGTTTTAGCGGGGCCTGACTCCAACATACAACAGTCTCCACGGAGGAGAGAAAAATAGGGCGAAGAATGTAATCAAGTGAAGTGGGTTGGATAAAAGTTAGCGATCCATTCCCAAACTTTTTTTTTTTCCCCTGGAAAAAACCATCGAATCCCAACGCAACAAATCCCCGACAGAAAACAGCGTTTTCAGCCTTTTCTTTGGGAAATTTTCTCGCGTGAAATCCATCGTTTCAAAAATGCAAGTTAAAAAATAGCGTTATTAGCTAGTGTCAGGAAGGCGATCCACACCTCCGCCTTAGACCTCTGCCTAAGACCTATCGCGATAACGCAGTCGCGACAACCGCCCCCACTATAACGCAGTCGAGTGCCAGTGCCTTATCGATTCTTTCCAGGACCGAAACTTCTTTCCCAGCCATTAAAACAAAAATGTAAGTGAGACGTTTATACAGCGAGTCGGGCAGACAGTGCAGTTAAGCCTCTCTGTACTGTAACACACGTGCTGGGTCACTACAGCCTATGATTACAATTTCTGACCTCCAAAGGGAAAAGAGCAAATTTCTGAGGAACAGATGCCGGGCAGACGTGCCTAGCAAAGATCCCGACTCATTTCAATACAATATGCCACATTGTAAGTGAGACGTTTATACAGCGAGTCGGGCAGACAGTGCAGTTAAGCCTCTCTGTACTGTAACACACGTGCTGGGTCACTACAGCCTATGATTACAATTTCTGACCTCCAAAGGGAAAAGAGCAAATTTCTGAGGAACAGATGCCGGGCAGACGTGCCTAGCAAAGATCCCGACTCATTTCAATACAATATGCCACATTCCAACAATTACCTCTTCAGCAAGCTCTCCAGGCTGCCTACGGTCTGCTCTCTCCTGAAGAGAGATTAGATCAACCTGCCCCGCCGTCCCTATTAGACAGCTCTAACTTGTGCAAACAAAACCACCTATTTTCCAAGCACAGTTAAAGGAAGAAGACAAATTACTGCCATTCATCACAAGCGCTGTAAACTCCCCGCCCGCCGTCCCTATTAGACAGCTCTAACTTGTGCAAACAAAACCACCTATTTTCCAAGCACAGTTAAAGGAAGAAGACAAATTACTGCCATTCATCACAAGCGCTGTAAACTCCCCGCCGCCGCCGGCAGCATCATTTCCATGACAACAACTAGTGCCCTTTTCTTTATTTGTATTTGATAAAGGTCTCTCTCCTGCTGGTGTTGATCTCAGCAAAGCTGATCCTGCGGTGGCTCGTTTCCTGTTTTGAGGTGTGCTTGTAGTAACGCTGGTGTCTCCTGCAGAGTGTAGGATTTGGCTGCGAGTGTTATTCCAGCATCTGTGCACCTTGGATGATCTTAGCATTCTCGCGTTCATATACATACTTGATTGCTGTGGAGGTTCCGTCTTTACATCTAGTTTGTAAATGCCTTGTTTCCTTAAATGTGCATGTAGGCGCTGTCCAGCGGCAAAATTGTAAAAAGGAAACCCCAGAGGTTCTCGGCGGCTGCAGATCTGGAGGACGCGTTATCCCGAGTCATGGGAAAGGATGGCAAAAGCTGGAGAAAGCGGGAGCCCGTTCCCGCTGCTGCTCCTGAGTAGCGCGAGCGAGGCAGTGACGAGCCGCCGCAACGTGCCTTTGTGTGTGCGTGTGCGTGTGTGTGCGTGTGTGTGC